ACACTGCGCTGTGATTGGTTAAATCCTGCATGACGTCATTACCCCTTTAAATATGAATGCCAGCCAGGCTAATCACCATTGCGATCATTGGAAGCATCCGCAACGCCGAAGGAGCGTGGTGTTAGGTCAGTCCCAGGGAGTGGGTGGGGAAGGGTTTAGCCCTTCTTGTTTGGGAAAGTTTTTCGCTGCCCCCCCACCCACCCCGTTATCCTATATTTCATATAGTGGGACTCGGCCTCGCCGCGCGACTCCGGCACTGCCCCATAACTCATAAAGGATGTACCAATGACTGCGCAGTGTGAATAGTGAACTTTTCTGTCAACAGTGTACAATATTCAAATACTGCTGCATGTGCAGCCTTTTTGTTGGAATCAAATCGTTTTTGTAGTGTCTTGATAGACCCTGTCGGTCAGTCATGCTAATGAGTGAAACACATAACATTACATAAACAGTTTGTGTTTTACTCATTAGCATACTTGTGACTCGCTACATGCCGCCTTCACGTGGGTGACCACAGGAACAAGCTGGACTTGAGGTAGCAGAACACAGTTTTCGTCCTATGGGGATTCCTATAGTTAAGCACCTCGAGGTGACTCACTTCAACGCGGTAAAAATTATAGTAGGGTGCACTATTGAATCACGGCCAACTAATATGTTGAAATATACGGTATATTCTACAAAATAACTGAAAACCAAAAAAAGTTATCGTTTTTTAACATAATGACGACCACTTTGATTTGGCCCTCTATCGGGGTCAACGGAACTGCAGCCGGCTCACCCTGGAACGTGGTTGCGTAATGCCGCGCATTTATACACGAACAGGGAAATCTTCACAATCCAACTCATACTGTGTACAAGCCGATACCTTTCCTTACCACACAGTGCAGTTCATTCATGGCTACCTCTCACATAAGTCGCTTTAGACAGGATGCGAGAGGTTTGTCTGCACTACTTTCTATACCCGCGTCATACGACCCGCGTCATACGACCGGGGGTCGCGGATAATTACTGTGTTCTGCGACCTTGAAACTAAATTACGAGAGAACAAGCTTTGGTTTAGACTGTGTGTACCGAGCCGAAAACGTGTTAAGTAAAGCGCAGGAGTACGTAACGGGGGTCAGAACTAAGGTAAGTAATGGGGGAGGGGCGAATTAAACATTTTTTTCTAAACAAGGGAAGGCTCAACGAGCGATCTGCTAGGTTCAGTTACGTTGGTTCCAATGATAAGTTGTGTACGCGTAGGGAATAAATGAGTTTTTAAAGCGATTAGTTATACATATTGGAATCTGGATGTTTTGTTTGTTACGAAGGTTATATATAATGAGTGAAATCAGAGTCAAACACTAAGGGTAACCAGGTAACAGGCTCCTCAGATGCCATATAAACAAAACGGGTTGGTGGAAAAAGGAGTCCAGTCCGATTGGCGGAAAAAGCAGCCCAGTCCGATTTGGGGGTGGAAAAAGCAAACGGGGGGTTTCTACGAAATTCTACGAAAGACCATAGGTACAATTTTTGTCTTGTGTGTGTACTTCTAGTTTCTATGGGTACTTCGAGTTTCTATGAGTACTTAGAGTTTCTATGGGTACTTCGAGTTTCTATGAGTACTTAGAGCTTCTGTGAGCACTTAGAACTTACAGATTGTATGGGAAGTTAGAATTTGTATGAGTATTTAGAGTTTGTATGGGAATTTTGAGTTTCTATGGGTACTTAAGAGTTTCTGTAAGCACTTAGAGAGTTTGTATAGGAACTTAGTGTTTGTATGGGAACTCAGTGTTTGTATGAGTATTTCGAGTTTCTATGAGTACTTCAATTTCTGTGTGCGGTCCGACTTTCTGGGGGCACTTTGTTTCCTGTGGCTGATGATAATACATTATGAGTTGCATATTCCTGTTAACCTTTCTAGGCAACGAAATTTTATTTTAAAGCTATTAAAAAGAAGATATACTTTTACCTTTTAAAAGTTTTTCTGCTTACAATGTTCAACATGTTTGTTAATAGATGAAATTAAATTCTGGCATAGATAATGTTAATGGCCCGGAGTACTCATTAGCATATATGTGACTCACTACATGCCGCCTTAACCTGTAATTCAGGCAGCCTTGAAAAACCACTATGAGGTCAGCTGTCCTCATTTGCGTTCAGCTCTTTCACACCGAATACTGCCCAAAGGCTGCCGCAATGCTGCCCGGTTGGGAATCTGGTGGGTGTTATGGTTGTGTTTTACGCCAGGTCACTAGTAGGGGTCATCACCGCTACCTAGTCCTGCTTACCCACATAATGTGCGTTATGTAGTCAAGTCACTTGAGAACTTTCTGGTTCTGTTGTTTATACCAGACTGTGTAGTTTCTATACATACAGGTCACCTACCGGGGGTATCCACAACAACCAAAAGTTAATTATTAAACTTTATTTAAAGCTGCATTATGTAGGTTTTTGTGCAAAAAATTCAAATATTCTGAATCTAACAAATCTTGGTTTTATCATCATTTACTATCACTTTTCAAAACATTTGCGTCATTATATTACGTTTCTGGCGTATTTTGTTAGGCCATGTTGATTTGATTATATGGATGACATCCGCGCGCGCATGAATTTTTGGCCGTTTCCAAAAAAAAAAGTTTTACAACCATACTGTAAATCGTACAAAACAGTTGCAAAATGAGCAAAAATATACCATAAGTTACAAAAAATTAATAAAACCATACCAATGTCGTAGAATGCCAAAATCAAACGAAAAAAGACGAAATTGTAAAGAAATGAACTTGAAGACTAGATTATTCGCCAAACCATATTCTGTGCCATTTGCTCAACCCTCATGACCACCTAGATTTCATAATGAAAAGAACTTTTTTTTTTTGCAAAACTCTTTTTTTTATTCGCACGCGCGCATCAGTTTTGGGGCTCCCGGAGGATGTCATCCATATAATCAAATCAACATGGCCTTAGCGCAAAAACAGTCCTCTTGATGTGCGCTCAGTTCCCGGTGGCACCGAGTTGATGCCACCGCTGGAACCCAAACAAACAGCGGTTTTCGGTCGGGAATCTTCGGTGAGTTTCGGCTGCGTGACGTCATGACTAGCTAGCCCTCTGAAACAAAATGGCGGGAATGGAGGGCGGTCGGGATCGGGTGAACCGTGGAGGTAGAAGAAGTTTGCTGACCAGTTCTGCCAGGAAGAGGAAGGAGAAGGGCAAGTTCAGAATGTCGTCTGGGTCGTCCCTCCATCTCCACAAAGTAATCGAAGGAATAACGCGATCAAAACAAACCCGGGAACCAAAGGCGAAAACCGGCTGTCGACAGAATCGAATGTCCCGCGCTCAGGTGAAAGGTCACGTTAGACCACTGACGTGACAAATCTCCGGGCCGGCTCGGGCAGACTCGGGAGTACTCGGACATGTTTGGAAGTCAACAAATATGGCGGACACCCAGGCGAGCGCGTGCGATTTCTCAGTTTTCTAACCGCGCGCATCGCAAAAATATCATCTCGCCTTCATTAACTGAATGGTGCAGTGTAACACAGTAGGGTTTATTCAACTAGCAATGTAAAAAGATGGCCAGAAAATCGACTTTTTGTTTTAAGATTAGACGACCAAAAATCGCATCATGCAGCTTTAAGGGATTCTTTCTTAGAATTGTACTTCCGGTACTTACATGCTTGTTGGTGTAACACAAAGTCTGCCATACGCGACTTTAGCAGGGGCCGGCTGGATGTTGGGCAGCCGGCAACCATAAAGCGATTTAATCAGGCTACTTACATGCAAGCAGGATCAGCACTGGAAATCTCATCAGTTGACCGTTTCATCTTTTGACTAATTATTATTACTTATATGTAATTGTAAGTTACAAACTGTAAGTTCCCATAGAAACTGTAAGTTCCCATACAAACTCTAAGTGCTCACAGAAACTCTAAGTACTCATAGAAACTCTAAGTACTCATAGAAACTCGAAGTACTCATAGAAACTCGAAGTACCCAAAGAAACTCCAAGTACTCATAGAAACTCGAAGTACCCATAGAAACTAGAAGTACTCATAGAAACTCGAAGTACCCATAGAAACTTGAAGTACACACACAAGAAAAAAATTGTGCCTATGGTCTTTCGTAGAATTTCGTAGAAACCACCGGACTCCTTTTTCCACCCCCAAATCGGACTGGACTGCTTTTTCCACCAATCGGACTGGATTCCTTTTTCCACCAACCCCAAACAAACAAAGGTAACTTCATTCATTCATTGGAATCAAGGCGGTCACACAAATTAATCAATAATATCTATGATTGGCCCTGTGTACGAAGATATTGTTTTCAATGTGTTTGTGTGTGTATATTTGCCTGTGTTTATGTTTTCTTGTGTGTCCGTTCAGGTATTTGCTGAGTAGTACAGATAAAGTGAAGGGTCAGGGGTAACCACAGATTGACAGGAAGGTCTGCCCACAGTTTAATTTAAACTGCAAGTCACGGGTGTACCAACTTACTAGTAACTTGTTACAGTCTGGTCTCAGTGAGGTTTGGTCATCTTGAAGAGGTGATAGTCACCTGTTATGTCGACCTTCTTATCTACAATGTGTGGTAAATGTTCATAAACAAGAATTTGGAGATCTCATACCTGCATGAAATATATGAGTTTTTCTAAATGTTTTTACACAGTACACTACAGCACAGAACAAAATAACACAGGTTTTTGTTTTCAACACACAGTAGCACCTTTGGCCTGAAATAGGCTGTAATAGATATGGTCAACATCTGGTCTATTTCAGAGGGAGAACCTCATTAATCAAACCGGGCAGGCGCCACTGCCTTCACCCCGCACATCTGTTTTCCCTGATACGAAAGATACAAAAACCGGAAGTTCTGCTGCAGTATCAAGGTCAGCCACCAGGAGGCCCATATTTGACCTTGACCTTTGGCTTCCTAAGATATACCAGCATACCAAATATCATTACAATCCATAAAGGCGTTCTGAAGTTATGCTGACTACAAATGTGCGGAAACACACACACACACAGTCACACATACACACAGTCTGACGCGCCAAAAATAATACCTCCATTTTTCATGGAGGTATTATAATAAATCAACTGACATTGTTGGTAACTTTCATCTGTAGTGAGGAGTGGGCAGACTGTGCATCCAGAGAGGTGCTGGAGGAGACAGGACTGAAACTAAAGAACGTCACACTTGCTACAGTCGTCAAAGGGATTAAGATTTAAGTTGTCCGATAACTACCACTACAATCACCATCTTCATGCAGGCAGTCTGGTGGACACTAGTCACTGGGAGGAACCGGTCAACCTGGAACCCAATAAATGTGAAGGTGAGAGTTGTCTGCAATACCATTCAATCTATCAATCAATCAATCAATCAATCAATCAATCAATCAATCAATCAATCAATCAATCACCTAATCAATCAATCAATCATTTGTTTTATCACTTGTGCATCCTATGATCAATTAGCTAAATATTACATTCTCAACAAGGGCTTGAAATACCACCTGTGCATATGCACCTCAGTGCGGGTAAAACCAAAGCTTAATATATAAATCACTGTCTACCTGCAACTAACACTAACAGTGCACTGGTCTATTTTATTTATTTCAAATGCATGACAACACATTACACAGACTTACAGGTAGCAGTAGCTGATGTAAGTCTACAGTTATACAAACAAGACAGCAAATAACATTACATTACTAAGGATTCTTTATTGACACAACAAAAAGTACAGTGACATTTGTATGGTCTTCTACAACTTAACTTAAGATCTAACAAAGCTATATTCATGTGTGGATAACTTCATCTTACATACATGTGTGCTGGGCCATGTACCGGGTTTATATAATGTACATGTACTCTGTAGTTGTATGTCGATTTTTGTTTGCCGTATTAACTGTTACCTCCTATGAAGTATAAAAGAAATAATGACAATGGTTTCTGAACAGTTTTTAGTACTTTTCCATACTTCCTAAATTCAGTGTGCAAAAAGTATTTCAAGCCATGTCAACCCATGAATCAAACTTGGGCACATACTACATTGGGTAACATAAAGATCAAATGCAAAAAAACAACTTGAGACAAATAAAACTCTAACAATAATGTCTGTCATCTTGTAGGTGGAATTTAATAATATTCTTGTGAATTAATTTAAAGATAATGCAATGGTTGTCATACAACATTCTAAACAAGTGCTTTGACAAAAGCTGACATTTGCCCGTGTGGTCTTTTTGCACAACAAAATTTTTTTGTTGAGAATATCAAACCATTTGAAATCAGTATAGAAAGGTCCACTAGAGAATCGTAGTCAACTTTAGAATAGTCCATACAGTTCGAATGTAGGGTTGAGGGATCAAAATTAACTATGATGGGACGTCTGGTGATGATGATGATCTGGACAGTGGTGCAAGGACAGAAGTAGACTGGACAAGATTACAACTGTCAGTGAATAATCAATAAGTGACAGTGTGTGCGTTGGTTCTTAGGCTGTTGAAGATTTAACATTTGGGAGGTCTGGAGCAGTTAAGATCCAGCTGGCAAATTTGGGTCGGGAGGCCACCAAGCTTTTTGGCATTAAAGTCCCCAGTATTCAGTAATGATAATTGAATCATACTGAAGGGCCCCGCCAGTAAAAACAGTCAGTCAGCTGAATGTAATAGCGTCGAATTCCTAAGCACAAGACACATACACATTATATAAAGTGACCATGTTTGACACTGTCCCGTGCTGAGTTCATTCGTTTTTGATAAGTGTTTAACGCTCCTTACATTCTCGAGTCATGGTATGAAATGTATATATTGAAACAAAAACAAAAAGAAAAAGTGAAGACTTCATGAACGCGATGCTCCAAGTTGAAATTTTGCGATTAAGAGATGATGGGTACACGGAGATCATGGGGGCGGTATATTTGAATTGGGAAGCCCCTCACTCTTTATATACATGTATATAGCAGTAAAGTAACCTTATGTCAGAATCCGGCCTTTTGTGCCTTACTGTGGGGTGAATCAGAGTTACTATCTAGTAGATGACTTTCTTAAATGCAACATGATAAAAATGATTTTATTTTAAAGGTAGTTATTTGTCGCCATTGAACTCTATGTTTAATGCCAAATTACGGGCTATCCCCATCAGTCCGCCATGTTGGTACTGACGTCATATGACATCCTGGTAGCACCGATCAATGATAGGTCGTACTCAGTCATTGGAAGCTTAAGCGAACACTGAGACTTCTAATTTTGAAAACTTTGACTCTCGGCTGATATGTGCAGATAGACACAGGGGTTACTTTTGACACTCCCCATGCCGACACACTTTAGATGACATTGAATCAGCGAGCAAAGTATATTGGTACCAGAAAACGCAGGGTTGAGAGATGTTTCCCGATTAGTTGTGTACGTGTTCTCACAGCAAGACAACTTTAACTTCCCGATACTCACTGCATGCACTGTGTCTGGCTTTGATGTGTGGTTTATAATCCAACAGAGCAGCGAGCCACCAAATACTGTGACTCATACTGGCGACCATCTGAATTGTAATAGAGTGACGCTTGAGACCATCAAACTTATTATCATGATATTGCAAGTTTGATGTACCAAGGACAAAGGTACCAATAGATCACCATGGGACGGGGGGGATATGTGCCGCTATCTGTTGATTAAAATGGTTTCTTTCCAACGAATACGGAATTGCCAAATTACATGTTTTATTACACTAAATCTAATGCATGGACGCCATTGTGCAGTATAATCACACATGCACAGCCTGATTTAGAACAGACATTCTAGATGGACAAACATTGCCTCAGACTCTATTAGAACTCTGCTTACAACAATAAAAGCATGTTTTGAATGCGCCAGATTGGAGTTAATGTAAATATCAAATGGTGTCTACAAACAAGCAGAATTCGCTCTTCTAATCTTGGTGCACCTAGAAACAGTGAGTTCATTCGTCTGTAATAATACATGTTTCTGAGGAAAACAACCCTCAAGGCTGCAGCTACATATCATATGTCCTACTTGATAAATTGTCTGAGTGCTCGAGCATCAAAATAAGTACCATCAAATACTTATTCATCCATGATGGAACTTTTCCGTTATCACTATCAAGTTGTATTGATAACTATGCACCTACCGTAGGTCAGCAACACAATCCATTCCAAAATTTCAGCATTCCAGTTGTTCCCAACTTAATGACCCCAGAAGTTTGATAACTAAAGCTGTCTGAGCAATACAGGGAGGTAACATTAAATGTCATACTTTTTAACACCAGCAGATATAATTATAATACTAGAAATGTTTTGAATTTTCTAGCCAATGTGGACTTGAAAAATCCAGTACTCAAAATTAATAAATGGCCGTGTGGCTGTGTGGTATGCTCTCATATGCATCGCCAAATATCGATCTAGAGCAATATTTCAAAAAGATAATCCTGTCAGACGAACACGCTAACATATATGTTATCTACAATAACATTAATAAAACCATGTTTATGTCTACAATTATAATATTAATAAAACCATGTTTTGAATCCGCCAGAGCGGATCAAGGGATGTGTACCGACAAGCAGGATTCGCTATTTTAGGTACATTTTGGCAACAGTGCATCCGTCTGTATGAGTGCTTGAGACAAAAACAACTTTCCAGATGGTGCCAGATGCCTACGTGGCCCTACAGCTGATGTTACCATGTCTGTCCACGTCTCCAGAAGGGGGTGTCAGGGGTTACCATGGGTACATCTATTTTTTTAAAAACACGGAATTGGGGGAGAGCAAAGAGACAACACTTTGATTTGATAATGGATTTTTAAAAATTCTATGCTAAAGCGGTGGTGTTTTTTCCTTGGCTTATACGTATAATAGTAGTTCATATGTCAGTTATGATTGAATAGTTTATAGAAAAGTTATAGACTTCAGTACCAATAGAACATGAGTACATGAAGCTCAGTTCTGAAATAATTTTATTACTCGGCTTCCAGTACTGATCATGAAGAGTCACTTTTTACTGGTAAATCCAGTAAGGAACCCATTACACTTTTGTATATCGATACTGGGTATGTATAACCACTCACTGTACTACAAACCAGCCTTTTTCTTGTCGCCGGAACGCAACTCAGTACAGGAGCCCAAGTACCGAGGGTAGTTCAGTTATTTAAGCTGAGTACTGAAACAAACTTCTGATTCAGTACTCTTTGGACTTCCAGTCCTGACGAAGCTTCTGAAGTACTGGAATAAAGCTGTTCGTTACTAGAATTTCTGTTTGGGATTTTTCTTCCGTACTGGGCACCGAGTGAGTTGGCCATATGGCAGAGAAACGCGCATAGTATCATAATCAAGGGTGACGGATTCGAAGGGCTAGGGTCATATGTGACGTCAGGGCGTAAACATGTACGTGGGTGTGTGCAGGTTGGAAACGGGGGGGTGGGACTAGTCTCCACCAGGTTTTTCTACGGGAATACGGATCGTAGAATTCGGCTAAAAAGAGAGTAAAATTGGCAAAGGGAGTCCGGCCGCGGGGAGGTAGTTTCTTTCTGGCCAAACTCCCCTGGCAATTATGCTCCTATGATATAGCCAGCGTCGTTAGTCTGGTAGAGACTAGGGGTGGGGGTGTTGGGGTGGCGTGGCGACCAGATTGGGGACTTGTGGTGTGGGTTGGAGAGAGGGCACATGTAAAGTTCGAATGACGGAGAGACTGGCACAGTTTTATTATAATTGCAAAATTCCAGTTATAACTTACGCGTGTTAAATGTAGTAGCGGTGCAGTTTCCCGTTTAAACCGAAAGGTCTCATCTGAATGAAAAGATTGTGTCTCAGGCTTGATACGGCTGACGGAACAACAAACAAAATGTTTTAGTACATGTATGACATAGGCCTGACAGAAGTGATATAGCTGTCGTATAACGGTTCTTTCAAAACGCATCATTAACCGGTTATTACCTCGGTCCATGAAAAATGGAGGTATTGTTTTTGGCGTGTCTGTCTGTGTGTGTCTGTGTGTGTGTTTGTGTTTCCGCACATTTATAGTCAGCATAACTTCATAACGCCTTTATGAATTGTGATGATATTTGGTATGATGGTAAGTCTTATGAAGACAAAGGTCAAGGTCAAATATGGGCCTCCTTGCAGATGACCTCGGTACTGCAGCAGAACTTCCGGTTTTTGTATCTTTTGTCCTGAACATGCTATGTTCTTGACATTTTTGGTGACAGATAGCTTTTCCAGTCAGGAATAAGTGGTGTGGGATTGGTCCACCTAGCAGCTTGTTCTGCGACTGCAGGGCAGCTTTTGGCGAAATCTTCTAAAGCCAATAAGTCCAGGTAGGAACAAT